CTTGGGATGCCTTTTCGGATAGTAGTAGTAGTAGTAGTAGTAGTAGTAGTAGTAGTAGTTGGTGTACTACTACTACTACTACTACTACCACCACTACTGCTACTACTACTACTACCACCACCACCACGACGACTACTACTACTACTACTACTCCTGCTGCTGCTACGACGACGACGACGACGACTGCTACTACTACTGCTACTGCTGCTACAGGTTTGCGTGTGCGTATTAGAGCTTTCGGCCTTTGTTCTAGGTGTATAGGTATTGTAAGCATGAGGGAATATACGAATACGAACTATTTAGACCTGTATCGTGTGCGCTCTGAGGTCTCGGACAGACTCTGCCCTCACAGGCGTTAGGGCTTAGAGCTTGTAGGGTTCAGGGCTTAGGCTGGGGTCTAATTAGTTCGTATAATAGTAACCCCTAGTCTTTCATTGAGCTTCGATGAAATTTGATTATACAAAATGGTAACCCTAACTTCTTCTATGTGTAACTACACTGTGTGTATATATAGATATACATACATACGTACGTACATACATACATACATACATACATACATACATACATAGAACACCCACTGAGGTCCTCATGCTAGGGAGACTCTTACAGAGAGAAACATCTTCAGTCAAGGTGCTGATGGGTGCGGCCACACCTCCACACGTGTCATCGGCGTTCTCTGAAAACCGTGCCGCGATTCATTGAAATGCATGGGAACTATTGAGCAGCGCGAGCAGTCACACAGCAGTCAGTGCCTTGTTGATCTTGCCAACCCTGATGTTGAGCCTGCGTGGGGCTACAAGCAGTGGACCAAGATCGCAAGCCACAGATCTCTGACGCCACAAATACCGGCATTTCGGAGAAGTTTTCGCAAAATTGCAGGAGGTGGCTGCGAGGTGTCGGCTTGACCCGTTGGGTTAAGAGCGAGAGGACCCGACATGTGTTGCACATGAAGGATACAAAGCCGCTTTCCCACAAGTGGGATCGCGAACTCACAAAGTCCGAATCCTTACAAAGACGACTCAGACATTTCTCATCAAATCGACTTGGGAGTTTCCGAAGGGGGTACCTTACTCTGGGGACCTTATAATAAGGATCCTACTATTAGGGTACTATATTAGGGTCCCCTGTTTTCGGAAACCCCCAATTAGTTGTTAAAGCTAAGGAAGAATCAAGCACGGCAACGGCCGTGCGACATGGGCTGGACCCATTTCCTTCGAAAGGGGCCTGCCTGCCATGTGTTGCACATGCAGGCAGGGAAGCTGCTTTCCCGCAAGTGGGATCGCAAAAGCATGAAGTCCAAGCTCCCTATACTACTTTGGGGGTTCCTTATGATGACTAGAGTATAATATACACCCAACACCCAATTCTAGTTATTAGGGCCCCTAATATAGAACCCTATCATAGATCCCTTGTAGAACCCTTTAAGGATCCCTTTAGAAGAACCTTGTTCTAATGCTTGAGGCCCCTACCTAGGGTTTTAGCGTTTAGGATTAAGGCCTGATCACGATGGCTCCACGACCTTCTGCGGCAAGACTTGGTGCTTCTTGCGGTGTGTCAGCACAATCCTGGGTTCTTGTTAAAGGATTTATTTTAGGGTTTAGGTTTAGGGTTTAGGGTTTAGGGTTCTTGTTAAAGGAATTAACTTAAGTCACTATACCAAGGAAACCATACTATTTACTCTAGGCCCCTATTACCCTAGACCCTAAAACCCTAAAGCCCTAAAGCCCTAAACCCTGTAGATCCTTTTACTTTACTATAGACCCCTACTATGGTAACTTAAATCCTAAACCCTAAACCCTAAACCCCTAAACCCTAAACCCTAAACCGTAATTAAACTCCTGAACAAGAACCCAGAATCGCGGCTTTGCCCAGCAGAAGGAGCTTGTACCATGCCCACAGGTCCACCACCACATTCCTGGGCCGCCTTTGGGGATTGGGGTGAGGGGGTTTAGGGGTTTAGGGTTTTTTTAGGGTTTAGGGTTTTTAGGGTTTTTTAGGGGTTTTAGGGTTTAGGGTTTTTAGGGGTTTTAGGGCTTAGGGTTAAGGGTTTAGGGTTTTTAGGGTTTAGAAGCGCTGAGGCGTAGGGCTCCGCCTTAGTGAGCGCTTGATGAGCTCATAGGGTTTAGGGTTTAGGGGTTTGGGGGTTTAGGGTTTTAGGGCTTAGGGTTTTGGGGTCTAGGGTTTGGGGCGCTGTCAGGGGGCAAGGAAACAGTATCATTTCTATGTGGGGTGCTTTAAGAACCCCTAAACCCTAAACCATCTATGGCGCAAACCCACCAAAAGCTACAAGGATCCGAAACAAAAACCCAAGCCCTCGCTGCCCCATTCAAATTCCGAGAGTACCCCCTAAATAGCCCTAAATAAACCCTTAAAGGAACCCGTTTTTGAGACCCTGGCTACATAAACCCGTAAAGGACTCAAAGGAACCCTTCTTGAAAACCCTCAGAAGATCCCTCCAAGAGTCGTAAGGAGTGCCACTGGGCCCCACAGAATGGTCCAAGGGAGCTGCCGAAGCGGAGCCCTCAAGGAAGGATCCTGGCTGGGCTCTCAGGGCTTAGGACTTTGGGGTCTTTGGGCTCTTAGGGCTCTTTGGGCTCTTTAGGCTCTTAGGGCTCCTTAGGCTCTTGGGGCTGTTAGGGCTCTTGGGGCTTAGGATGTATTTCTGGGCTCTTTGGGCTCTTGGGGCTCTTAGTGCTCTTAGGGCTCTTAGGGTGTATCCTGGGTTCTTTGGGCTCTTTGTGCTCTTAGGGCTCTTAGGGTGTATCCTGGGTTCTTTGGGCTCTTGGGGCTCTTTGGGCTCTTAGGGTGTATCCTGGGTTCTTTGGGTTCTTTGGGCTCTCAGGGCTCTTAGGGTGTAGGATCCTGGGCTTCGGCTGGGGGCTTCTTGGGGGTTTGTAAAAAGGGTTCAGGATCCTGGGCTCCTGGAGCTTCGGGCTCTTTGCGGGGTGGGGGTTGCAGATTCCAAGGCTACTAAATCTAAGAATACTACGATAACATGGCGATTTAGATTCTAGGGCTACTAAACTAAGAATACTATAGGGTTACGATAACATGGCTATTTAGATTCTAGGGCTACTAAACTAAGAATACAAAAAGGTTACGATAACATGGCTATTATAACGGTGCGGGCTTCTGGATTATGAGGCTACTAAACTAAGAATACTATAATGTTATGATAACATGGCTATTATAACGGCCCCTACATGGACGTTGCTGCAACAAGTAACTCACGAGGGGTCTTGTTACGGGGCTGCTTCGGGTTTAGGGTTAAGTCACCAGGACAGGGACATCTAATTCGCAGGTGGTGGAACGTCCTTCAAACTAAGTTCCTAACCCTAAACGCTAAACCCTAAATCCTAAACCCTAAACCCTGAACCCTAAACCCTAAACCTCCTTAACAAGGACCAGGATCCGGAGATAGGGACGCCAGGTACTGCTCATAGCAGGGAATCACGAAGAGCAGCAGCACAATCACCAACTGCAACAGCTTGTCCAAGATTTGGAGGAGCAAGGCTTGGTCATGTGGAAAACTCGTGGCGAATGCGGCCGTGGCAACGGCGAGGGAGAGGCTGAAAAGTCCTAGACCATTGATCAACGCAATCCGCACAAGCCAGTATTTCAAGAGCCCCCATAGGCTGCGGCAGCTAGTTCCTTTTGCTCTGAATCTCCACGAGAATTCTGCAACCTCCGCCGTTTGCGCTGCCCATCGAACACCCTGACGATTGGCCTCCATCATGGACCCACATAAAGTGCTGTCGATTGGTGGCGCGACGGCTACCAAAACTGGCAGCATCACTACGCGAGCCCGGCGATGGCAAACAGCTGCCTGGGCCAGCATCATCATGTCTTCACCCATGTACCCGGGATGGTGATAGCCTTACTTGTCCAGTTTCTTAGGGGAACGAAAGGTTAGCCGTTGGCCTTACGCACTGATTAGTATAGTACCCCATAAAGGATAAAAGGCAGTGACAGGCTACATACTGTACTGAGTAACCCATCTTCACGTACTGCAGAAGGGGCAGGCTGTAGCAAGTGACCACCATGACGTCCAGCCCGAACAAGGTCGGGTAACAAAAGGTCCGCATGGACGTAAGCGCGCGCGAGGGTCCATAGCCTGGGCTCTTGGAAAGTAGCTTCATTTCAATCGCCAGTGTAAGCAAAGCTTACAGTCTACGCTGTATCCAAGCATAAGGTAACTGAAAATTCAGCTACTGACCCTCGACCCTAAACTCCTAAACCCTAAGGCCCCTCAACCCTAAACCCTAAATCCTAAGGATCCTAAACCCTAAACCCCTAAGGCCCCCTCAACCCAGAACCCTGAAATTCAGAGCCCCGCAGCTCTGCTCCCTGTTCAGCAGGCTCACCGGCAGCGGCTGCCAGACGACAGCTTCGGAGGTGGTGGCTTGGCAAGACAGCCTGGGTTTAGGTTTTAAGGTTCAGGGTTTAGGGTTTAGGGTTTAGGTTTCAGGGTTTAGGGCTTAGGGCTTCAAGTTACCATACATGGGGATATACAGTAAATAAGACAGTCTCCTTATCATTCTCTTACCGTATACCCATACCGCGCGAACCTAAACCCTAAACCCTAAACCTAAAGTTCCTTAACAGCAACCTAGCAGCTCGAGGTCTTCGAAGTAGTTCGGAGGTAGATGAACTTGGGAGTCCAACTTCGTCAGAACCTTGGCTTCGGGGCTCAGGGTTCTGAATTTGGGTTTTGGGTTTAGGGTTTAGGGCTTAGGGTTTAGGGTTCAGGGTTTAGGATCGCATGGTATGGGTATACGGAAATAGAAACGATTATACTCCTTAGCACAAATAGGATTTCTTAGCTCAAGTTCCTACGCGAGAACCCAGGAGCGTACTTCGAGATGGTCTCAAGGCTACCATCGCCGCGCTGGAGAAGTGCAGTGACGTCTTGGGACAAGGCGTAAGCCAGGTTAGAGCAAAGGCCTCGAATTTCACCCTTCGAAGCGCCCGCCGGATGCACGTAAAAGCACACCTCGGGCACGTTTGAAAGGCAGCTCTTGTAGAGATCAAAACGCTCCTCCGTCCGATCAGTGGCCTCCTCCATCGCGAAGACCACTCTCATGCGCGGTGCGGCTGTAGACAGATTAAGTCGAGTGACCGTGGCCAGGACCATCTCGTCGGATTCCTTGTAGATGGGTACACACACCAAATGCTGCCAGCTGGCTTTGCAGCTGTCTTGGCAGCCTGCTTCGCAATCTTCGGAGCTTCGGCTGCCCTGCGAACAAGAGGCGATCTGCCTTCGTCCACGAAGTATCCAAGCCATCCGCAAGGCTGCCAGAATTGCATAAGCTCCCATCAGAAGGAAGATGGATTCTATGGCAACGAGCACGTACACACCGATTTCGCCACATGCCAAAGCCCATAAAGGCGAAGAGACCAGGCCAACATGGCCCAGAAGGAAGATGAGGTTCACCTCCAGGGCATCTCTGAATAACTACTCTTCTTGAGTCGGGTAGTAAGGGTTTAGGGTAGTAAACTCCTCAGTCGAGTTGCATACGCCCTGAAGCCTAAACCCTAACTTTCAAGACTAGACCCCTAGAGCCTGAACAGCCCTAGAGACTTAAGAACAGCCCCTACCTCCGGGGCAGTGCGTGCAGGAGCACCCCACTGGACCGCTGCAGGAACGACATCCATGATATCCTCTTATGAGCGCTACTACCTTCCCTACAACTGCTGTCATGCGGATCATTATCGTTTCTAGCGCCGTCTCTACGATTACTGTTGCCATGTATATTGCTGTTGGTCTATATTTGTTTTTCCCGATCAGCGGGCACTGGCCGATGTGGTGCTGCGGCCGAAACCGCCGAAAAGCTTCAAAACCGACGAAGACGAAGCCGGGAAACCAAATCTCCCAAGGGCCTTTGGCCCAAAAAAGGATTCATAGACTTTTCCCTAAAACCTAAACCCCTGAACCCATGGCTGCTATAAGGCTCCTGTAGGGTCTTTCTCAACTCCTAGGGTTTAAGATGTAGTTTCGAGCTTACAAGTCGACCTCAGACTTTCGGGGGGTTCCATGCTTGGTTGAGGCCTGGGAGAACCCACGTCCCAAACAAAAAGCCTTCGGGGGCATCAAGCCCCAAACCCTACAATCCCTATGCAAGCTTTAACGTATAAATATAAAGCCCTCTAAGCCCTATTTATAAACCTTATAAGTCCTACAAGCCCTATGTAAGCCCTAAAGTATAAGCCCTATAAGCCCTATTTATAAACCTTATAAGTCCTATAAGCCCTATGTAAGCCCTAAAGTATAAGCCCTATAAGCCCTATTTATAAACCTTATAAGTCCTATAAGCCCTACATAAGCCCTATGAAGTATAAGCCCTAAAAATCTAAGCCCTATTTGTGCACCTATTTAAGCCGAATAAACCCTATACACCCTCGAAACCCCACGAACCATAAACCCATGTCCCTTAACCCGAAGCCCTACACAACCCTAAACCCAAAGACCCCCTGAACCCAAACTAAACCCTAAACCCTAAACCGTCTTTTCAGAGAGCTACCGAAGCGGCACTCCGAGCCTGATAGGTTCTGGGGTTTGAGGTTTAGGGTTTAGGGTTTATAGAGTTTCTAAACCCAACACCCCCAACCATAGGTTCATGAGTCTAAACGAGTCTTAACCCTAAAGAACCTCAAGCCCTAGGCCGTAAGTTTTCTATGTCTAAAGCCCATAAAAAAATCTTAAACCATAAGGTTACAGCCTAAACCGAGCAGCCGAGCCTCTACGAAGTACATCTCAAACCCCCCCAAACCCTAAACCCTAAACCCCTAGATCCTAAACACTAAACCCTAAACCCCTAAACCCTAAACCCAAAGCCCTCGAGAAGCCCGAGAAACCCATCCGGGCAGTTGCCCAAACCGAACCGCAAACTCCGTTTAGGGTTTAGGGGTTCTAGGGTTTAGGGTTTAGGGTTTTAGGGTTTAGGGTTTAGGGGTTTTAGGGTTTAGGGTTTTAGGGTTGCACTCCAACGCATAAACCCCGAGACTAAAGCCCTAATTTAAAAGAACGCCTGAAACCTTATCCCTATCCTCTTAAACCCACCACCTAAACCCCTAAACTAAACCCTAAACCCTAAACCCTAAACCCTAAACCCTAAACCCCTTAAACCTAAACCCCTAAACCCTAAGACCCCTAAACCTACACCCTAAAACCCCCTGAAGAAATATCGGCTGGTTGGCCCTTTAAAGCCTTTGACAAATATTAGTAAATAGGGCCCTCTTAAGCCCAATAAGGGAAAACAACAAAAAAATCCCAAAGGCCTACCTAGTCGGAGATCCGGAGCTGCGCCTGGAAAAGTCCTCAAGAGGTCGCTCCGCGGCCGGAGCTTTCCCCGGAGCTGCTTTGGCCTTTGCCTGTTTAGGGTTTAGGGTTTTTTTTTGAGGGCCTTTTCCGTCGCTTGCGCTTCAAAGCCCATGCTTTCCGGCGGTTTAGGCTTAGACTGCGGGTTTAGGGTTTAGGGTTTGAGGGTTTGAGGGTTTGGTTTGCGGCTGTAGGGAATCAGGTTTAGTCCGGGCGTTTGAGGCATTGGTGAATCTCGGGGTTGACTAGGTCTTCATCGGATTTCGCAAGGTTTCGAAGGGCTTTAGAAGGCTGAAAAGATGCGTAAGGGCTTAGCCTCGGGGTTTGAGGATTTGGGCATCTGTGGTTTCAGCTTTTGGGGCGTATGTTGATGATGATCGTGGTGATGGTAATGGTAATGATGAGGATGACGATTCGTACCAGTGCTTCCACCTGATTCCTGTCAGAGAGGACCATGTCTGAAGCTTATATACGGATACGATATCAAGATACGGCCATGGCTCCTTGCTTGGTTTGAGCACATGATCCGTACTGTACAGTGCCCTCCAATCGAACTGTGAAAGCAGCGCAAAACTCTAACCAATCGACAACACAAAACTTTTTCGCGTGATTGATCCGAGAGCTCAAGACAGGTTGCTATGGAATGCGCTTCTTATACACACCGCTTGCCTTGCACACCGCAACAACTACAAGAGCCTTACTTACTATTGTGGCTTTGACTATTGTGGTCTGCGAGTACAGTGCTAATTCAAAGCAAGCCTGCAGCCTAAACAGTCTTTTCCCTGAACCCAAAACCCTAAACCCTAAAACCTAAAACCCTAAACCCTGAAAACGCAGGTTTCATTTCTACAAGTCGCACTTACTACGGTTGATGATATAAATCCTGCAGTACCCATAATAAGGAATATACCATAATTCCCATAGTTTGGGGTCCTGAAGGTAATGCAGGATTTATACCATCAAAAAACACAAATCAAGGATTGTACCTAGCTAAGAACCCCTCTAGAGGTTGAGGCGCATTCCTTAAACAAAGGATTTTGGAGTGCCTG